CGTCAACCTTCAAGAAACTAGTGTACAAGATTGGGATGCGAAGGCTCAAGGATGTGAATTGATGCTCTCATCAGGGGGAGTTAATACGCGTTGTACTCTTTTTTTTCTTACAAGGTTTTGTCTCACTAGGTTTTCCTTGCAAGGTTTTTAACGAGGCAACCAAAAGGCGTATTTCTTAATATGTGTACTCTTTTTCCCTCACTAGGATTTTTTTTTCCCATAGGTTTTTTTTTCTAATAAGGTTTTAACGAGGTACATTATCTATGGACATCCAAGGGGGAGTGTTATAAGAAAAATCAAATTATGGTGGATGTCTACTCTTCCTCCATGATCTTCTCAAATGCTTAATGACATATTCAATGACATATTTCTNNACAACAGAAATGGAAAAACCTTTAATTTGTTGGGTTAGGGCTATTGTGGAACTATTTATCTTTTCCTTTACCTAATCTGGAGTGGAACAACTAATATATATGTCATAGTTGTAATTGTGATTTTGTTAAAAACTAATTTCTTATAACAATTTTCTATGGAAAAAGAAAACTTCCCTTTTAGTACAAATTATCATTAATATGTCGTAAATCCACAATATGTCACCCCTATTTACGTATAGACAATAACCATGCACAAATAAATGGTTTACCTTCAATCTCCCCAAAAGGATGTTGTAATTTGGCACTTTTCTTCAATATTTGTTCCTCCGCGCGCTTCATTCATGAAAGAAGTAGAAAACGGTTAAATATAATAATAATAATTTAATTTATGTAAAATGTTCCATTTTAAGCTATTGTTAGGCTTTGTCTCTATTCTAAAAAGTTGCCCTTGGGAAATTACCCTTTTCGGAAGACGTTAGACTCTGATATAATATTTTCTCATATAATTTTTAATTACTCACAAAATATTAGACTGCTGTCTAGCATATACAAAAACTTACAAAATTTTAGACAATGGTATGACATATTTGTATACGGTAGAAATTGAGCTCGCCTAAGACAGAGTAGGTCAAGTTCGGAACATGGCAATAAAGGAATGAAGATCGACCCCAAATCCCACCGGGCTAGAACCCGGGGTTGGAGCGCCTGCCTTCGAGAGTATCGGGGCTGCGATCCGGGAATCGATCCTAGCCCCGAATGAGTTCGAAGAAATATTGTTAGCATAACAGAAGACCGAAATATCCGTGACCGGTCAAATATTACATCGGGAATCTCAGCACATATCAATGAGGAACTGATAATCGGCAAATCAAAAGATTTTTTACCTTTTATAGAATTGTACCTAAAGTAGAACTCCTCTACTATATAAAAGGGATTTGATAATTCATTTAACACATTGTAACACGCATTCCAAAGCAACACATTATTATTATTCTCTTTAAGCTCTTATTCTTCTAAGTCTTGATACCGATCGAAGTGCATTTGGCTCGAGGGTGGCTAACTTTCCAACGCTGAAATTGTCCAATTCGTGTGGTTTGTATTTACTTTATCGTTATTTATTTTAATTGCACTCTAATTTATCATTTTGTGTCAAGTTAATCCATATATCCTTAAAACCATTTACAAATTTAATTGTTATCTTATTTTGAGGGTAAACAGTTTGGCGCCTACCATGGGGCTAAGGATAATAGTGGTTATTTGATACAAATCTCCATAACACACACTACTTTACACTTGTTCTTTGAAGTATCTATACTTTCAGGTTAGAGCTCAAAACGTCAAACTCTCAGTCAGCACCACTACCCGTTGACAATGAGTCCAGCCATTACCGCGAAAATAACAACATAGTGCCCAGTGACGAGGTACCACTCATTAATCCCATCAGAATTCCGGTCGAAGACCCGATTGACGCTAACTCTTATATGGCTATCAACACAAATCTGCCTAATGACCCCGAGAATACCGTTTGTGGTGGAGCCCGATCAACAGCTCAAAATACATAAAACATTGGAGGAGACGGGATCAATTTACGGATGATCTTCAAAATGTTACAGGCTCAATAGGCGGCGATAGCTCAGTTACAGAATCGAAGCCGTGCACCCAACAGAATTGAACCCGATCCGTCCCGGTAAGTCGCCCGTAGGGATGAACCGGTCGTAGAGAGGTCGAATGAAAACGAATCGGCGACTAATCCCGAGATCATAAATATGCTCGAGGAACTGATAAAACAGGTAGAATCAGGGGAGAAGAAAATCGAAGCTAATGACAAAAAGGTAGAAAACTACAATTCCAGGGTCGACCAAATCTCGGGCGCACCGTCGATATTGAAAGGCCTGGATTCCAAGAAGTTCGTGCAAAAACCTTTTCCTCCGAGCGCGGCTCCAAAACCCGATTTCTAAGAAGTTCCGCATGCCCGAGATCCCGAAGTACAACGGAACGACCTGTTACACCCCATATTTTTGTACGTGAAAGTACGCCATAAGTAAATTGATGAAAGCTCGTAAATGAAATGTTACATTCTGCATTTTCGTACGTTAAGGTTTCGTCGTAAGTTAATCGACGTAAGTTCGGGAAGGAGATTATTTTGGGATTATAAGTACTACGCTTTTTCAAGCAAGTGATAAGTAAATTCGTGAAGGTGAGTTTCGTCGAAGTTTAACATTTTGGGATAAAATACAGCCTAAACTATAATACCCAATTTTTATGGATTTGTGCCATGCAAGGTACCACGTGACCATGATAGTGAGGTATATAAGGTATGTTAAAAGTGATTAATATTTTAAGTAATTTGAGATAATTCTTAATTATATAAATAATTGGATAATTATGAATTTTTAATGAAAGATTAACTAAGTAATTAAGATAATTAAGTAATTAAGTTTTGGATAAGCTTAATAAAAAAAACCCTACCAAAATATGGAAGCCCAATGAGTCTTGATTAAAGTGACTCTTCACATTTCAAGGTGGCAAAGTTAGTGAGTTTAGTAGCTTAGTCATCCCAAAGGAGTGGGGCCCACAAATCATGATCTTAAGGGATGGTTTGGTAGGAGGTATTAGAAAAAATAATGCAAGTATTAGCTATATGCATTACTAATACCTTGTTTGGTATATTTTTTCAACCTGTGTATAACTAATACAAACATCATACTTGGTATTATCCTATGTATAAGTAATACATACAAAACTATGGCATTAGTAATACCAAGGCTACTAATACATGCATTAGGTTGGTTAAAGACAAAATTATCCTTAAAGTCCCTTAAAGCTTGAGAATATAGAGGGCATTTTTGTAAACAATTATTTTTCTTAAAAATTATGCAATGCATTATAATTTTAATACACCACACCAAATAGTAGATAAGAAATAATATCTGCATAACTAATGCTTGCATTACTAACCCATACATTACTAATCCATGCATTACTAATACACTTTATTCCGCACTATTCTTATACACCCTGACAAATGACCCCTAAAAGCTTTACAAAGAGATATGAATCCTACAATATGAAATGAGTTAGAGTGGTGGGATTCTCAAATATGATTTCGTACGAATCCTTTACAAAGTGAGATAGATTGGCAACGTGATTTTGCTTCTTTAATACATGTTGCAAGGCTTCTTTAATACATTATCTCCAAGTAACGAGCCTTCAGCAAAAGAATTTATTCGGAGTTATACTACGAGGCTTCTTAGAAAATAACAACCAGATTTTGTGATTCTAAAGGAGTATAGTGTAATCTTTCTCAAGAATGTCATACGAATTTTCCCTACTTTAATCCATCGTTACGTGTTTTATCACAAAAAGACGTATGGTAGAGGTGTTGACATCCAATTTTGTCCGTCCTTTCTTCCAATTAATTTTCTTGAGTTTCTAATTTATTAATACATCAAATACTTTATTTTCCAATGCTATTTTACATTTACTATATATTATTATTGTTGTTATTATTATTATTATTATTATTATTATTATTATTATTATTATTATTATTATTATTATTATTATTATTATTATTATTACTACTGCTACTGGAATTACTATTGTTATCAATTTTATTATTAACATCCTTTCCTTAGTATTTCTACTACTACTGTATTTTTAATATAATTATTAATATCTACTTAATATATTATAATATGACTAAAAGAAGTTAATTAGAAATCCAAAGGAAATTGATTTGAAGAAAGAACAGGGCCATAAATTCGGCCAAGACAAGGCCGATTGTTTCGTCGCCAATTATTTGCTCTCAAGCCCAAAACCCAAGCCCTTTAGCAACTTGTCTTAGCAGCCCAAATGACTTAATTAGATTACAAAACCCTAGTCTCTAAACAATTGCTGACACCCCATCTTCCCTCTTTCCACTTTCATGCTAAATCTCAGTCCCTTTCAACTTTCGACAGAAGAAGTACACGAAATGTTTGCACAAACTCATCTTGCTGCAATATTAGTCGATAGAAAGGTATTTAAAATAACATGTCAAAACTCTAATACTTAGAATCAGTTTTAGGCCACTCATGGAATCCATGAGTTATCCTTTGTATGCTAGTACATGAATTGGTTTGAACTTTTGGAAATGACATGTGTGTTTTCGTATGGACTTTAGCAGATTTAACCTTAAAGATTTTCACTTGACTAACTAATGTTAAAATAATTCTCTATAAGGTAGTGTCTTTCTCCGTTGCTCTCGTTTTGTCACTTAGAAAACATGTTTGTAGGATTTTAGCAAAAGGCCTTCATTTGTTAAAAAGAGAATGTTCTTTGTTTATTTTTCTGTCATATCTAGAAAGATTGTTTTGGGGGAGAGGTTAGAAAGAAAATACTTGTGCTGGAATTTAGGAAGTTTGTTAAAAGTTTGAAAGTATGGGAGCTTGCAGCAATCGTCATATGTTAGATTAGCTTATTATATGAGCGATTAGTTTATCTTGGTTTTGCTCCTATATTCTGTTGAGAATCAAATTTTCTTTTCTAATTCCTTTTCTCTTTCTCTTGTTTTGCATGATCGACGGAATGCCAAAGAGTCCCAATGAGGGTCTCAATGCGACTCGACATCGCCGTTGGAATTAGAACTCGCATCTCCGCTTCATCCATTTTGCTCGCTTCCTGAAACGCAACTGGACTGAGAAATCAAGGATGTTTCCCTCCATGTCTTGTTGATTAGCCTTGCCTTATACCTTACGTGTTTTGACTACTAACCTATTATTTGTATTTGTTTATTTGCCGTGTGTGTGGGGATTTAAGTTAAGTGTACTTATGATATTTAATTCTTGGGTTGCTTAGAGATCATTAATTTCCAGAACAAAAAGATATTTAAGATATCATTTAGAGGGCTTAGAACCAAACCTACCTTTTGAAATTAGTCTATTTCTTCTACTGTACTTTTGATTTCTTAAAGTTTCTAACACAAATAGGTATTTCTATCAGCTACCAATATGAAGTCAAATGAGTTTCTAATTCACCTTCTTTTGATTCTTTCTTTCCCATTTAGAACGAAATGCAATTTCAAATAAACTATGCAAGTCCAAATCTGTTTTATTTAACGTACAAATACAAATTTCTTCATCAAGACTTTTAATGGGAATTTGATTCTCCTTTTAAATAGAAAAAATGTTTCTACATTTATACTTAATTAATTAATTTAGTCCGGTCGGTTAATTATTTAATATGGATCTTAAAGGGTGCTTTAAAAACCTTCCCTTTAGATTAATTGAACCCTTACCTAAAATCTTTAGGTGAAGTAGACCATTAACAGAGTTATACTTTAAATTATTACAATCAATTTAGGTGTCCTAATTCGTCTTAAAAATAATTAGGTGGCGACTCTTTAACTTTAACCAAATTCGGAATTGCTTATATGTTGTATCTTATTTTAACCATTTTAAAATGGGGTATAATAAGAGGGATTGTCAAGAGAATCGACTCAGGTATGTTAAGGTTATCCCTTCTTTCTTTTTGGCAGGATCCATACGATACAAACGAAACGAGTAAATACACAATTTTTCATAAATGACTATTCATAGAAGTACTAGGGGTGTCTATATTCTTGATTCCCTATGTGAATTATTATTATATCTTCTGTTCATGGGTCTCAGAAAAATACGTATTTGATAAAGTTTATCCGAAAGGCATATTGATTTTATGACATTCCGAGAAATCTTATTAACGTATTTCTTATGCATTTCATGCATTTATACATGTATATTGACTCATGACCATATGGTGTTATACACGCATATATTATGTGTATATGGGATATGAGAAAAGGTTACGGCGTTATATATATACTACCATCTGATCAACTGGTATACATTAATGATTTGCCCACAATGGTCGTGATGATATGATGGGATGCCCTCAAAGGCTTGATGATGTTATGAACGCATATACCTATGCATGGTATGACATTTATACGCATATGCATGACATTATAAATATGAAATGATTCACAAAACTATTCAAACTTACATGTTGAGTCATTTACTCCATGTTTTTCTCATGTCTATTATTTACTGATATTCATTCCTTACATACTCGGTACATTATTTGTACCGACGTCCCTTTTGACTGGGAACGCTGCGTTTTATGCCCGTAGGTTTCGATAGACAGGTCAAGAGTCCTCCAAGTAGGCTATCAGCTCAGCAGAAGATGTTGGTGCGCTCCATTTGCTCCGGAGTTGCTTATTTGGTTAGTATGATTTGGACGTGTATTGTTTAGTATGGTGGGGCCATGTCCCGACCTTTATGGTATTTATCTACTCTTAGATGCTTGTAGACATATGTCATGTACGTAAAAGATTGTATGGCCTTGTCGGCCTATGTTCAGTGTACGAGTGATCATTTTGATCGAATCTGTCTTGTTGAAAAAGTTCCAGAGACCCTGTCAAAATGAGCTATGATATAGTATCACAACTTACCTCTTAATGATAAGGAAATTGTAAAAAGTCTGACCTTTTCAAAGTAAAATAGAAGGATAATGAGATGCTCAGAGAGTTCGTGTCCCGGTTTCAAATAGAACGGATGGACCTTTCACCGGTCACTGATGATTGGGACATTCATGCTTTGACCCAAGGACTCAACATGCAGAGCTCGTAGGCTTCACAACAGTTGAAACAAAACTTGGTGGAATATCCAGCTGTCACTTGAGTTGATGTCCATAACCGGTATCAATCAAAAATCAGGGTCGAAGATGATCAACTTGGGGCCCCTTCCGGGCCCATGTATCCCGTCAGAACCATCGAGTCAAGAGAGACATCGATCGTGAACCCAGATCAAATAGGGATCGGTATCAGTTGTACAATGGAGACCGAAAAAATAGTGGGTCCGGGTGGAACTCTATAAGAATGAAAGGAGAAGTGATCGAGGTCAGAGCAACCGGGGACTCGTGAGCAAAAATAGCTTCGACAGGCCCGTCAGGCCTAAAGAAGCATCGAGATTATCGGAGTACAACTTCAACGTCGATACCGCCGCTATTGTATCTGCCATCAGACACATCAAAGATACCAAATGGCCTAGACCTTTACAGTCCGATCCGTCCCAAAGGGATCCCGACCTAATGTGCAAATATCATGGCACTTATGGCCACAAAAAGGAAGACTGTAGACAATTAAGAGAAGAGGTGGACCGGCTGTTCAACAACGGGCATCTCCGAGAGTTTCTGAGTGATCGGGCCAAGAACCATTTCAAGAATAAGGATTCTCATAAGCAGACCGAGCAGGAAGAGCCTTAGCATGTCATTAACATGATCATCGGTGGAGTCGACATTTCTTACGGTCCGATACTGAAATGCACCAAAGTATCCATCACAAGGGAAAAACGGACTCTGGATTATGTACCAGGAGGAACCTTGTCTTTCAACGACGAATACGCTGAGGGGATAATGCAGCCCCACAACGACGCACTAGTAATATCGGTACTCATAAATAAATCTCAAATTAAGAGTGTGTTAATTGATCCAGGTAGCTCAGCCAACATCATCAGATCAAGGGTCATAGAACAACTTGGCCTATAATATCATATCGTACCTGTGGTTGGAGTCGTGAATGGGTTCAACATGGCATGCGAGACCACCAAAGGGGGGAAATAACATTACCTATGAACATCACCGGAACCGTGCAGGAAGCCAAGTTCTATGTAATCGAAGGGGATATGATATACAATGCTTTATTTGGGAGGCCATGGATTCACAATATGAGAGTAGTACCCTTGACACTGCACCAGGTACTGATATTCCCAACACCCGGAGGAGTCCAAACAGTTTATAGGGAACAACCGGCCACCAATGAGATGTTCTCGGTCGATGAGGTGATCCCGGCATCCACATTCTCGACATCGGAGGATCCAAATCGGATGGTCAAAGATGGGTCCAAATAGCAATCACCAATACCAACCTCGATGGAATTGGAGGAACAAAGAGTAGATGAGGACGATGACTACGGAGTCCCCAGATCTTTCATAGCCCCTGATGATTCCGACGCTACAAAATAAACGGTCAAGAAAATGGAACAAGTCGTGCTAACCAACCATTTGCCCGATCGAAAGGTATACCTGGGTACGGGGTTAAGCCCAAGCTTAGGAAAAAACTCATTCAATTTCTTATAGCTAACAAAGATTGTTTCTCTTGGTCCCAACATGATATGACAGTTCCAACCGGTCAAGTAGAAGAGGAGGCCCCAGTCCGAGGTCAAACATGCTTTCATCAAGGACGAGATATCTAAACTCCTTAAAATAGGGTCCATTCGGGAGGTTAAATACCCGGGAATAAATTAAGAGTGTGTCTAGAGTATAAAGACCTAAATAAAGCATGTCCCAAGGAATCCTTCCCTTTGCCCAACATCGATCGCATGATCGATGCCACAACCGGCCACGAGATCCTCAGTTTTCTCTATGCCTACTCCGGGTATAACCAAATACGAATGAACCCGAGTGATCAGGAAAAAACCTCATTCATCACTAAATATGGCACATACTGCTATAACGTGATGCCATTCCGATTAAAAAATGCCGATGCCACTTACCAACGCCTAGTAAACAAGATGCTTGAGGAAAAAATAAGAAAATCAATGGAAGTTTACATTGACGATATGTTGGTTAAGTACTTGCGCATAGAGGACCATTTAAAACATTTGCACGATACCTTCAGCATATTGAAGAAATACAATATGAAGCTGAAATCGGAGAAATGTGCGTTTGGAGTTGGATGACGTAAATTTCTCGGATTCATGATATCCAACCGGGGAATCGAGATCAATACCAAAAAGATCAAACCATCAAAGATATCACGATTGTGGACAATGTGAAGGTTGTGAAATGATTAACCGGATGCATAGTCGCTCTGGGGCGATTCATCTCGATGTCCTCCGATAATAGCCACTGATTCTTCTCATTATTGAAGAAGAATAATAACTTCTCGTGGACCCCGGAGTGCCAATGGGCCTTGTAGGAACTCAAGCGGTATCTATCGAGTCCCCCGCTGTTTCACATGCCAAAGATAGACGAACAACTATACCTGTACTTGGATGTATCGGAGATAGCAGTAAGTGGAGTCCTGGTTCGGGAAGAGCAACGTACGCAATTTCTAATTTGCTAAACTAGGTACCCTCCCCTAGAAAAATTTGTGCTCGCTTTGCTAAGCGCCTCTAGGAAGCTGAAACCATATTTTCAATGTCATCCTATATGTGTTATGACTACTTACCCATTGCGAAATATAATGCATAAACCCTAGCTCTCGGGACGATTGGCCAAATGGGCTGTGGAGCCCCCCCTCACTCCCCCCTTTTCAATAAATAAGCCCCACGGGGCCCTCTTGATAACGAAGGAAATGAAATAATCTCAATGTCAGCGGGTACAATATTGAATATCGACCCCCGATCGCCATTAAATCTCAAATATTTTCGGACTTCATGGCTGGCTTTATGCCGACCCTAATACCCGAGATTGAAAGAGAGTTGTTGGTGAATTGGGGAAGTCCTCAGGGATCTAGACCCTCTTTACGGATGATGCCTTGAAAGCAAAAGGGTCCGGACATGGCATCGTATTGAAGCCACCAACCGACAATATAGTTAGACAATCTATTAGGACTGTGAAATTGACTAACAATGAGGCCGAATATGCGGCCATGGTTGCAGGTCTCGAATTAGCCAAAAGCTTGGGGTCGGAGGTGATCGAAGCTAAATGCGACTCCCTCCTCATGGTGAACCAAGTTAATGGGATGTTCGAGGTCAGAGAAGAACAAATGCATAGGTACATGGATAAGTTACAGGTAACATTACATCAGTTTAAGGAGTAGACTTTGCAACACGTACCTCGGGATCAAAACTGTGAGGCTGATGCCCTTGCTAACTTAGGATCATTGGTCAAAGATGACGAGTTCAACGTGGGGCAGCCATACAACTCATGAGATCAGTAGTGGAAGAAGGCCATGCCGAGATTAACTCAACGAGCGTAACTTGGGACTGGAGAAACAAATATATAGAATATCTGAAGGCCGAAAAACTGCTTTCGGATCCAAAGGAATCGAGGGCCCTGCGTACAAAGGCAACCCAGTTTAGTTTGTCCGAAGATGTAACCCTATTCAGAAGAACATTCGATGGCCCACTCGCGATATGTCTAGGACTAGGTGATACCGAGTACGTTCTGAGGGAAATACACGAAGGCACTTGTGGAAATCATTCGGGCGCCGAATCATTGGTTCGAAAAATAATCAGAGTTGGCTACTACTGTATCGATATGGAAAAGAACGCGAATCAGTTCGTACGAAAATGTGATAAATGTCAAAGACATGCTCCAATGATTCACCAACTGGGGGAGCTGCTGCATTCAATTTTGTCGCCATGACCATTCATGAAATGGGGAATGAACATCGTCAGCCCCCTTCCATGGGCACCAGGTAAGGCTTAATTTATATTATTTATGACTGACTATTTTTCTAAGTGGGTGGAAGCCCAGGCATATAAGAAGGTCAGAGAAAAAGAAGTCATAGACTTCATTTGGGATCACATTATATGTCGATTCAGAATGCCAACCGTGATCGTGTGCGACAACGGGAAGCAGTTTATCTGCAGCAAAGTGAGCAAGTTTCTCGAAGACCATAAGATCAAAAGGATCTTATCAACACCCTGCCACCCTAGTGGGAACGGACAAGCAGAATTAACCAACAAAATCATACTCCAAAACCTCAAAAAGAGGTTAACTGACGCCAAAGGAAAATGGAAGGAAATCCTACCCGAAGTCCTATGGGCATACCATACGACCTCGAAGTCCAGTACCGGGGCCACCCCGTTCTCGCTGGTTTACGGCGCTAAAGCTCTAATACCGGTTGAAGTCGGAGAACCACGTCTCAGGTTCCGATATGCACCCAAAAATGCAAACTGAGGAGGCCATGAATACAAGCTTGGAGCTATTAGATGAGAGGCACGAAGTCACCCTTGTTCGGTTGGCCGCACAAAAGCAGCGGATCGAGAAGTATTACAATCGAAGAGCTAACCTTCGACATTTTAATGTCGTGGACTTGGTGTTAAGGAAGGTCACGCTAAGTACCCGGAACCCGAACGAAGGGAAGTAGAGATCGAATTGGGAGGGTCTTTATCAAATTATCGAGATCACCGGTAAAGAATCGTACAAACTCAGAACAATGAACGGTGAGCAACTACCGAACAACTGGAACGACATAATTCATTCCTCGACCCCATTCACGTGAAGCGATATTACTGCTAAGGTACGACCCCATTCATTCATTTTACTTATTTGCATTTTGAACTAACACTTACAGGCGACCGTCAAAGAATGACACAATATTTAGGCCTGAAAGCATATGTAGCACTCTTTTTCCCTTGAATCGATTTTGTCCCAAATATATTTTCCGGCAAGGTTTTTAACGATGCAATAGTAAATCGTGATAACTTAGAACTGAAGTCTGGTTGTGAACCATTATAAAAGTCACAACAATAGTATTCGAGGCCTCTCTATGATCGGTCCCGAATACTGGGGGGGCATCACCCTTAGATAACGACTTTAGCAAGGAAAGAAACTTTTTGATAAAATGGTCTCGGCTTGGATGATAGGATTTACTGTAAGGGCCAAACGGTCGAATGAACCGTGCCCATATAGACTGCTCGAGCCCTAATATAAAGATTGTACGTATGTGTAATCGTATATATTATTCACAGAAACAAAAGGAAGTCTCTACATTGCAGATAAATATCTTGTCCCTTAAACATTTTCTTTTCTTTCTGAATTTTCTACATTCGATCCCCTAAAGGTATCGAGCCCAAGGGCCGCCTTTATCCGGGTTCAAACGATCGCTCCCACTCGAGGACTTACGTCCAGAAACAAACTCGTATGGCCCGGACTATTAGAGCCCGGGGGCACAAGACCTATTAGGCAGCGCCCGAGCTAAAAGGCTATGATCATCCCCATTCGAGGACTATTATCTTATTCAAGTCCGGATAATTTGAGGTGCCAAGACCACAGGGCAACACCCGAACTAAAAGGCTACGACCATATTAAAACGGCTCGGAGACGGTCGAGACCCGTAACAAAAAAGAAAGCCTTGACAAATTTCTAAACCGGTTATAAAGGTTACCCTCGGCAAACTATAATCTAAAAAATTATAAGTACTTTAGGGAAATGTTCTGGTCATATCGAACCCCCACGAGGCCTTAAACAAAATATGTCAAAGGCAAGGCCTGATCCAACTACCAAATATGGCCTAACTAGTTCATGCTAAAGCATCTCAATCTTTGCGAACATAAAGATTAAAGCAAAGGAAAACAAAACTTAGAAGTTGTCAAAGGGAAAAGGAAGCCTTGTGTTATATATACATGAAGTCTTTACAAAGGCCAAACGGCCTCGACAAAAAAGTACAAAAGTACAAAAATACAAAAAACAAAGAAAAAATGTACTAGGAACTTAAATGGCCTGGTCATAATCCGGAGCTCGCCTCGTCACCAAGGTCTTCGGAGTCTCCTCTACCCTCGAATCCGCTCGAACCCTTGGAGCCTTCTTCATCCTCGGGATAAGCCATCTTCTTGGCCTCGGCTTCGATCCCCTTCGCACTCTCGATTTTGGATGATAAGTCGAAACCCTGGGCAAGAGATAGAATAAAACCAAATTTTCCAATATAAAAGGAATGACAAGGAGATGCGAATCCAGGATTTAAATTTTATGGGTTCAGATTCGCAATTTTACCACATCTCATCTAATTTAATAAGTTCAAAATTTATTATATGTACATATTTAATGATTTTTAGGCAAAATACAGGGTATGCGGGAAAGTTATGGGTTCAGTAGCTTATACACTGGATACGCCTCTAACGACAAGATGCCAGTTTTTCAAGAAAGTATCTAAAGTATCACCCTTTATTTTCTTTGAAAATTTGATTGTTGTATGGGCTAAAATTTATCATAATTATATGTGGGCCAAGTCAACATAAGAAAACCTTTGAAGGTTGTCACACGCCATCGATTTGTCTTCAACAAATGACGAAGGCGAGGTCGAGTTGTCTCAATAGAGGATAAGGACGGGGACGAATACTCCCTTTAGCAGAGCAGTAACAACTAGTTTTAGAAATGAGACCTTATAGAGAATATTTCCTCCCATCTGTACTATTAGGGTTTTTGTGGCCCATATGCCCTTATAAATAGAAAGAGAGAGGATTGTAGAGGGGACTCGACACTCATTGTAAAAAATAACACATTAACATTCTCTGAAGATTCTTGCTTTATCTTTGACATACAAAATACACCATTTAATTGCTTTATTGTCACCATTTATTACTACTCAAATAGTACTCGTAACATCTTACTACAAAATCGGTTAATCAGTTTTTTAGATATTAATATTGGCTAAGATTAACTCTATTCTATTAGAAAATCTAATTTTTTATACCTAGATCTAAATTTTGGGTCAAATAGTTTGGCACCGTGTGTGGGAATTTTCTCAGTCAATCAAATGTAATGTAGCAGTTTGTAGCTTCATATCTGTGTGTGTCAATCGTAAAACTACATGATGTGATTCATTCTTTCATTCCAATTAAAATTTCACTTGCTTCAAACTTCCCCATTATTATCATCTTATTTTGATAGAAACAGCCCTGGTTGTATACAGCTAGTACTGTAGCAATTGATTAATATGATATTTGTGAAAGCAGCAGCCTTTTGTGTTTTACTTCTCTTTTGACCAATCATTGATAGAGTGAACTAATGTAGCATTCCAATTAAGTGAAAGTATAATGGGTACTAATCAGACTACACACTAAAAAAAAAAACGGGTAAATTGCGGAGGTTAAAATTACAATTTGCGGAGGTTAGTAACCTCTGCTATTTGCTGTTACGGCGGTTGAGCAGGCCCCTTGCAGTAAGCATCGCCACTATTAATTTGCGGCAGATAAATGCGGGGGTTTCCCGAACCGCCGTGACAGCAAATAGCGGAGGTTTTTAACCTCCGCAAATTGCAATTTTAACTTCCGCAATGTCATGCGCGAAAGTAAATTTTTATTTTTAAAATTTAATTTTTTTTTGAGTGTGGGGGTTATAAACCCCCGCAATTTCTTATGTGTACACTATCAGGATCTGTTCAATTTCTCTTTGGGGGTTTTAATTATCCCCATCTATTTTTAAATATATTATAGAATTAATTTTTTATTATCAATTTGCCATACCCTTTCCCTAATATCAGTTGAAATATTCATGCTTAAACCAAAGCATTAAAATTAAGAAACATCAACATTTCATTAACTGTGAAAAATACTATGACAAAGTAGTATCATATGTCATCAAGCTAAATTAGAACATAGTTAACCGTTTATATTAGTTAGCTATTATATTATCCTAATACATCCACTTCAATTAAAATGAATCTCAATGGTTGTCACTGGGATTACTAGCGCCAGAAGATCTTCTTGTATTCGTCGGTGAAACGAGTCCACTAACTGCATAACTTGACTGCAGCAAAAAGTAAAAAAAAAAAAAATACAAGTATTAAGAGGAGTATCAGGAAACAAGTCATTGAGATAAAATATATGTTGTCTACTTAAACCAACAAAAAAGAATGAAACGGGACAAGATACGAAGCCTCTAGTCTAAAAGGCAGACGATATGCAACACGAATACAAAGAGAATAAAGCATTTATTTAATAAGTGATACAACACTTATGGCAAAATTCATGTAGACTATTATTTTTTCTTTTTGAATTACTATCCTCTAACTTCGACCAGAATGTTATGTTATAGTGATCCTTTGAACAAAGAAATATGAATCATTTGGTTTTCTGCAGGTTTGGGGGTTGACTTGAAGTAAAATTGTGTAATACTAGCTGGTTTTGGAGCTGAAATTGACATGTATGAAAAATAAAATTGCACAATACACCAAAAATAAAAAGAACTTATCATTTACCGTTGTAGGAGAAGCAAATATCCCAGCAAATTGTTCTAGTATTGGCCCTTCCTTCATTATCATGTATGCTTTGAGAGTATTCATCAATTGATTGTACTTCTCTTGGCATCAAGAAGAAGAACATCCAACATTATTACTCACAATTCTAATATTACCAAGACAAAGATTTGTCTCTTTGAAAGTATTGCTTGGAGTAACTCCTAATCCCAAACATCTCACCCTTCCAGGATGCTCTTTGCCTAGCACCTTACCAACAACATCATTTGGAGAAATTTCAGACTCATCCACTGTACTTTCACTCACTGCTAGCTCAATTTTTTCCTAAACACAATACACATAAAAAAAATTCGAGCCAACCTTATAACTGTATATTTTATAGTCTGAATGAGTAACCTGAAAAAGAAAGGTCGCTACTGCTATTGCCGACACTATTAATCTGACAATTACCCTCGTACCCTATTACTATATTAAATTTCAGGTTTCAAATGTGAAAGTTAGAAAAAAAGTAACTAAAGAAGAAAATGAAAAACACATTATTAATGGTAAGCATGTATGTAGTAATTGTTGAGACATATCCAAAGGTCCACAACACAGTTAAAGGCTACGCACCCACCCTATATTCAAAACGTTGTTATCACTTTCTCCTCGTTGAAAACTCTCTTTTCCCACTTTGCCCCACGACTACCACACTTTCCTTCACATGTTTTTGTCATGTTCAATAAATTATAACTACACCAAATTAAATAAAACACAGGGCCAGTTTATTAGTAGATCATTTCCATGCATTTATCATGGACCGGGCACAAGGCAACTTTACAACACAGTAAGAGTCAATATGAACAAACAAAAATCAATTTATCTGTCTAAGAAATTTGTGGATAACAACTTCTTTGCCATTGCTATTGGAGAAGATTAAACAAAAGATATCAGCTTGAAATCCTAAAGAACCCAAAACAAAATGAAGAGAAAAGACTCTTTAACATATTCCAAAAGCAAGATTAACCAGAATTCAAGAGAATAAGAGGAAAAAAGACTAGAGATTAAAACATCAAAAGCGAACAAAAATTCACAACTTTTACAGACATATTAGGAATAAAGAGATGATATTTACAATATCAACTGGTGCTTTGATGTGCTTAACAATAGAAGAAGAACACTGGTGGTCACTGGGATTCCTTTTATCAACAAAGTTCACCATATGATTCCTTTTATTCTAGTTTTCATGATAGTCACACATAGATCATTCTATCTTAGCTGTTCAGAGCAACATAGTATCATGAACAAGACTGTCGACTAGAGTCATTTAGGCAAACAAGTCAGCATGAGAACATGAAATAGAATCATTACTAAGAGTCGTTCAATAGACTAGACCAAAACATCATGACATAAAGGTTGAAACAAACACAATGATGCAGGTGTAATGGTCTTATATTGTAACTTACACATATTTCTTTTGCCTGCTCATTTACATATGATGCATCTTTTTTCGTATGTATAGCAAGATAAAGTTGTGCTCGTCTAGGCTTACTCCCCGTCTCAGCCATCTATGTATGAAAACAAAAATAAGTCAGAATAGTTTAATTAAAGTAAAAGAAATAGATACAATATCTAAAATTTAAATAGTAAAGTAAGGTAAATAATGTGATATCTTTCACCATTTCAGCCCTTCTTCTAGAATTAGGTTTGGAGCCACCGGTGTGTGGAACTGTTTGTTTCTTCCGATTTTCAGCATTTCTTTTACACATGTTCTAACAATAAGATACATTTCAGTCAATTATATAAATGAATAATCATATTTTTATGCATTTCAATGTGACGTTTCAGAAAAATACCTGAGTTTCTTCTTTATAACGGTAGTTCACAAAGGAAGTCCATTGATCCCGAGTAATACCTACCAGAACATTATTAATAATCTCATATTTAGTTTTAAGTGGGTCTTTAAACTCATACCACAACTTCTGCCTACTTGCAGCCCACTTATTTGCAATAGAGCGATAAACATATCCTCGTGTAACTTCCTCAATGGTCATAAAACAGAAATGAGGCTTCAAAAATAAATTTTGGTTAGTTTATCTTTTATATACAAATATAAAAACAAAAGACAAAATAGAGATATAGTTATAAAGATATAGAACTTATACCTTTATAACGTTATTAAAGCGGTTGTTAAAGTATGACTTAGGCATATCCGACCATTTATCAAAGCCAATTGAAAATATGGTACAGTCAGTTGCTAAAAGTCCACATACGCCTGCAAGAAGGCCTTGTGCTTCGCCAATCGGATCCAAGTAATCAAACTCCACCACAAGACTGCAACAACCTCTTTTGGCAGCACATTGTGAATTGCTATTGGTAGCAATTGTTCTATAATAATGCGACAATCATGACTCTTTAATCCAAAGATTCTCCTTTGGTACGGATCAATGCAATGAGAAATATTACTCGAGTAACCATATGGCACTGAAATATTCTTTAAAGTTGTGAGGAAGGCCACTTTCTTTTCCCTTGGAATGGTAAACACAGCAAGCCAACAATTATCATTCTCATCAGGTCAAAGATCACACCTTATACCCATATCTTGTAAATCTTTTCTTGCCTTAATATTGTCTTTTGATTTGTCTTTATCATTGAGCAATGAATATATAATATTGTCAAACATATTCTTTTCGATGTGTATGACGTCTAAATTGTGGCGCAACGAATTGAATTCCCAATATGGAAGATTAAAGAATATGCTTTTTTCCTCCATTGTTGCGCTGCACCTTGCCCAATATTTCTTTATCTTGATCTTTTCCTTCTCTCAGTCTACTCAGCCGGTTTTCCAAATGTAACATCAATATCTTTCACTTGTTGTAAAATATCAGATCCGGATAACTTTTTTGGTGGATTTCTTTCCTCAACATAAGCGATGCCTCATCAATCTAAATTTATGATTTCTTGCTAAAAATCTACGATGGCCAATAAAGCACCACTTTCTACTATGGTGAAGCCGACAAGGTTCTACATCAAAATTACAAGTGGGACATGCTAAACCAGTATGTGAGTTCTAACCAAATAAGATATTGAGTCCAGGAGAGTCATTAATTATCCACATAAGAGTTGCTCGCAATCTAAACATCTCTTTCTTTGATGAATCAAAAGTTTCGACAACCTCACTCCACAACTCATTCAACTCCTTAATAAGGAGTTGTAGGTAAACATCTATGTTATTTCCCGCTGTACGTGGACCAGGAATGATCATTGAGAGAATAAAATTTGGTTGTTTCATACACAACCAAGGAGGAAGGTTGTATGGAACTAAAACAACTGGCCAAACGCTATAATTAGTATTCATCATGCCAAAAGGATTGAAGCCATCACTAGCTAGGCCTAGCCGAACATTTCGAGGATCAAAAGCAAATTCAGAAAAAGTTGTATCAAACCTCTTCCATGCCTCACCATCTCTAGGATGCCTCGTGACTCCATCTCTGTCACCATCCTCAGCATGCCATCTCATATGTTTTGCTATTTTAGAGCACATGAACAATCTCTGCAACCTTGGTTTTAATGGAAAGTAACGCAAAATCTTTGCAGGCTTCTTGGTTTTCTTTTTGATTTTCTCCTTACCTGTAGCAGACACAAGATCTTCATTTCTCTTCTTGATAGGCTTCCACCTAGAAGTGTGACAATACTTACATGTTTTCTCATTAGCATCATTTCCCAAAAATAACATACAATCATTTGGACAAGCATCTATCTTGATATAATCAAGACAAAGCTTACTAATGGTTTTCTTGGCTTCATAATAAGAATCAGGGATCCTTGAAAATGTAAATGCGTCCCTCAACAAATCTAGTATCATGGTCATTCCCTGGTCTAAGACCCTTGTCACTTAGACCAGACAAATACTTATGTGATATAATTTTAATAAAAATTCTAGTTTTGAGTAATTGGACCCTTCATACAATTCTTGACTTCTATATCTAAGCAACTCGAAAAAGTCTTTGTCATTTGAAGCAGGCTCACCATTTAACCATTCTTCACCACCCACTACTTATAATGGACCTACATCAACCCCATCTTACCTTAGGCCCCCAAATACTTCATTGATCAATAATTCTACAGGATTCTCAGGAGGTAATGTATTTTGTATAACCTCAATATTTTTAGAATTAGCCAACACATTCCTTTCACCATGAATACTCCAAGTGACATAATTTTGAGGGAATGGTTTGCAAATCAAATGATCAAGCACTACATCTCTAGTCTGCTACTTTGCGAATCCACATTTTGGACAAGGACATTTTATTCTATGTCCTACAATAGCATTAGCAAATGCAAAATCTAAAAACTGATTTAAACCAAACAAATATTCAGTGGTGTTCCTTCGCTTTCTAATCCAAGATTTATCCATAAGAAAGTATTATCCTTCAATGCAACAGATGAACCTTTCAGAATATAAAGAGAAAATATCAGTTCTCTTTTATTAGACAGAAAATATGAATACAAAATATTAAGCAATAAATACATACAACAAAAAGTCATCTATAATCATAAACACTACAAAATTGAAAATTCCGAAACAGAGAATGATTTGCATAGTCATAGTCACATGTCCCAACAATAATAAGTAGATTCAAAGACATGGAAGTCAAACAAACAATAAGCATCATGAAATAAAATAAATTTACTGTAAGTTATCAAAAGGAAATAATTTACTGTAAAATATCTGTCACAAAGCATCTAATTTGGAGAAATTAATAGGAAAAAAGTCCTTGATCTAAAATATAATGATTTATTCTGTCATTAATCTAAATATTCATATATAAAGAATCTGTTATTTAAATTCCTTTACTATATAAGAAAATATGTGGCATATAAATACAGAAATCTCATAGAACATAGAAATTTTGGAAAACTCCTATAGATCAGGAAAAAAAAGAAGCATAAATATGGAGCAACTCTTGTCCAACACTATTTATAAGTATATCCGAAGTTATTTATGGACTAAACGTGAATTGATTTCAACAATATATCTAACCAAACTAATCAAATATTAAGAAACAATGCACCACTTGCTCTCTCTTCTCCTTCTCATCCACACTGCATTCAACTATAATTTGAGAATAAAACTTGGTTGATTGAATTGAATGCAACACTACCCACCAACCGACGCCACAGGTAAGTAGACAACTACCTCATTTACCCTCTCTATTTACTCCTATTCACTGACAGTATCTGCACGTAACCACTCTGTCGCTGCTCCATAATATATTTGTTATGTACTTTCATCCTATATATACTCAACGTTGTTCCTCAGTCTTTATTATAGAATACAGAATTACAACATTATATATGATGGATACAAATAGAGCAGGACTTGATGAGTGCATCGAGAAGATCAAGAAAATGAAGACAATGGAGTTAAATGATACTGGTTCTGAGGAAAAAAGTAGATATGATAGAGGTAGAAGCTATGAAATGGTTCTAAGAATGATGGGGTTAATTTTCATACTAGTAGCGGCTATTGTGGCTGCCATCAACAAAGATACTTAGGATGTTCCCATAACTCTCGTAGACGGCTTACCTCCTTTGAGCAGAACCTTTTTCTCAATTACTTTTTAAATAGTTTGAAAGTTAACTATGTGACCTATAATATTTTTATATAGTTTTTTTTAAGTATGTAAATTTTATTTCAAAATACTTGAAGATTCTATGTCTGCATGCTCCGAATCAAGCCATTCCAAAAATTCAACTAAAGTTCTTTTAGAAAAATTGAAAGCGAAAAACATGTTCCCCCTCTAATTTCACCTAAAAATCAAATTCACCCACCAACTCGAATGAGCATAATTTCCTGTGCATTTCTAGCCTTTTCTTTATAAACAAGCCTTTGTTATCACCAATGAAGGACACAATAAGCAGAAAGAAGTTTGACAGGATATAACAAGCAGATACTAGAATCAAAGAGAATCACCATCGAACAGAAATAGAACATCTTCAACACTCCACAAAGGCATCAGTTGTTATTCAGAATATCATTGCACTAATAAAAACAATGCTTACGCAATTAATTCCTTAAGTATCAATTTTTTCTGTTTTAATTTCAGTACTCCCCAAACAACCATCAAATTAAGAAACAGAAAGAAGAGATAAAAGTAAGAAATTATAAAAACGATACATATTCGGTACTCAAATAGGGGGCATAAACCCTTGTAAAAATCACAGAAAACCAGTATTAAAGAGAGAGAGAGAGAGAGAGAGAGAGAGAGAGAGAGAGAAGGAGAGAGAGAGAGAGGGAGAGAACGGAAGCAAACCCCAGATGAGAAAATAATTAAAAGAAATGAATCTCGAAATAAGCTTAGGTGTAGATAAAGAGCTTGCCTTGAGTGGTTAGCTTTCTGATTGGATCTCTTGTACACGATGAGAATCAGACGGAAGTCTTCTGATTGCCTTGAATTGATTTCAATTAGGTGGAAGTGTTAAGGGATTTCAATCAGAACCAACAGATTGTGGTTTCCTGCACAGAGAGAGAGGGGGAGTCGACTAGGCGGAAGTGTTAAGGGCGGATATTTCTAGACTGAAAAGGCTGGGGAAAAAGGAGGGAGTGTGAAATAAATTGGGCGCTTTTTTTTTTGTAGGGTTGCGGAAGTTTATAACTCCCTTAAATTGTATAATTTTGTGTGGATAACAAAGTGCCG